TGCTCCTCAATCTGCTCTCGGCCCTGCTCTCCTGCCTGGGGGTGCTGGCGGGGGTCGCCCTGGGCCGCAGCGGGACCCCCCTCGCCCCCTGGCTCCTCACCGCCACCGCCGGCATCTTCCTCTACGTGGCTCTGGCCGACATGGTAAGGGGGATCCGGGCCGACATGGTAAGGGGGATCCGGGGGGGTTTGGGGGCTGGCGGTGACCCCGCTGAGCCCCCCCTGCTCTGCCCCAGCTCCCCGAGGCGCTGCGAGGCTCGGCCGAGGGCGGCTGGAGCCGCTTGGTGCTGCAGAACGCGGGGTTCCTGCTGGGCGCGGGCATCATGCTGGGCATCGCGCTGGCCGAGGGGCACCTCCGCTCCTGGCTGCAGCCCTGAGCCCGGCCCCAGCCCGGGACTGCATCTTCCTCCTCCTCCAGACCCCCAGGGGTCCCCGAGGGAGGGCACGCGGGGGTCCCCTCGCTGCCCCGGGCTGGACACGCGGCTCCGAGCCCCGGCGGGTTCCCCCCGGCTCAACCTCCGGAGGAGCTGAGGAAGGACAGCAGCCCCCAGGGCAAGAGCGGTTTAATAAAGAGAATTGATCCACAACCGCAATAAAAAAAAACCCCAAAAAAACCACGATTTGGTCACAGTTTACAGGGTATAAAATGGATCTTTAATAAAGAGAATTGATCCACAACCGCAATAAAAAAAAACCCCAAAAAAACCACGATTTGGTCACAGTTTACAGGGTATAAAATGGATCGAGTCTGAATGGTTTTTCCTTATTTTTCCCTTCTTTTTCCTTTTTTTTTTCCTTATTTTTTCCTCATTTTTTCCTTATTTTTCCTTATTTTTCCTTATTTTTTCTTTATTTCTCCCTTATTTTTTCCTTATTTTTTCCTTTTTTTTTTTCTTATTTTTTCTTTATTTTTTCCTCATTTTTTCTCTTATTTTTTCCTTATTTTTTCCTTATTTTTTTCTTATTTTTCCTTATTTTTTTCTTTATTTTTTCCTTTTTTCTCCTTATTTTTCCTTATTTTTTCCTTATTTTTCCCTTATTTTTTCCTTATTTTTTCCTTTATTTTTCCCTTATTTTTTCCTTATTTTTCCTTTTTTTTCTTTATTTCTCTCTTATTTTTTCCTCATTTTTTCCTTATTTTTTCCTTATTTTTTCTTATTTTTTCCTTATTTTTTCTTTATTTTTTCCTCATTTTTTCCTTATTTCTCCTTTATTTTTCCCTTATTTTTCCTTATTTTTCCCTTATTTTTTCCCTTATTTTTTCCTTATTTTTCCCTTATTTTTCCCTTATTTTTTCCTTATTTTCCTTTTTAAAATTCTTTTCCTCCCGTCCTTCTTCCCCAAAAACGACGCACGATTCCTGAAAATACAGATATAGGACACCCAACACGAAAAAAAAATGGGATTTTGGGGTTCTCTTGGGCTTCTTCTCGCAGAGAAAGGACGAGAAATCAGCAAATCCGGGGAGGGTGGGACGCGGTTTGGAGCAGGCCCGGCCGATATTTCACAATTTGTTTTTATTTCTGCTTTTAAATCGCACCCCAAAACTCTGCCCCCCTCGAGGCTGGAGGGGGGCGAGGGGCTGGGGACCCCTCGCTTTGGGGTCAGCGCTGGGAGGGAGCTGAGGAATCCCCCGGGATGGGCTGGGATCAGCAAATCCCAAATTTCCGGAGCCCGGAGGGTTAAAAAAAAGAGAATTTTGGGGGGAAGGAGCCGCTGCTGCAGCCGGACCCGCGGGGCCGGGGGTGCTTTTCCCCCCAGGATCTCCCATGGAAGGAGGATCCAGCCCGGGGGATGCTGAGAGGTGGGAAAATGTTTCCCCAGCCCGGAAAAAAAGCAGGGAAAAGGTGGGAAAAGCCACGAATTTAAAGCTGCTTTTCGTTATTTCGCACCCCG